AAAGCCCTAGATCCACTCCCCAACCACCTCTTTGGCTCTCTATCTCACCCTCCACCCCACCTCCTTCACTATACTCAGTTCCTTCACCTCTTCCAAAGCACTGCCGTCTTCCTAGTCTGGGGTCTTAGCAAGCACTGTGCCCTCCGCCAGGAAGGCCCCTCCCTCGGCTCTGTAGCCTCCTTCAGATCTCAGCTGAGGTGTCACTTCTCTGAGACTTTTCCCGGACTCGTTCCGGGTAAATTAGGACCCTCCTTGGTTTCTCAGGCTCAGAACTTGCTGTTCTTCCTTCATACCACTTGCCAACACCTCCGAGTCTGTGTTTTCTTGTGCTTAGCTGTTTAATTTCCGCCTCTCTCAAAGCCCCAGTTCTTCATGCGAACAAGTACTGCAGCCTCTTTGTTCGCAGGTGTACCCCCACACCCAGCCCGGGACCGACATAAAAGTAGACACCTGATAACTATTTGTGGAACAAATGATCCTTACATCTCGTCCTCATCAGAACCCCATTCCCAGGCTTGCTTTCATCTCTAGCCTTTGTATGAATTGCTTCCTGTCTGGAAGGTTCTTTCCTTCCCCTCCCATCTGGGCCGATCCACATATCACAAGATAATTTCTCTGGGATTCGTCCTTGGCCCCTATTTGAATTAGGGTTTCCCTCTGGGCTCTGCTGGTCCCCTCTGCATAACACTCTACAGTAACACTTTAAAATTGCAGATTGCAGGTAAACATGAATGGCTATTAACAAAAATGACCTACTCCCACCTCTCCCCCTGGACTTCGCTGCTCCAGCTGGCTCAAGGGCATCCACTCTCTACCTTTCAGACCATCAGGAACTCCATTTTCCATTCATTAAATAAGCACCTACTGTGTTGTTTTCTTTCCCGCGGCACTGGAGGCACTGGAGAGGCAAAGAGTGGGGGGAGGGGGAGGATTCTTCTAAGGGTGAGACTGAAGCAGGTGAAGGCATCTGAAATGCTAAGCAAATGCTCAGCCAGTCCACACCCAGGGTGCAAATGGGTGCTGAGGAGGCTGGGGGTGGGCTGAGGGGTGGGACTGGTGCACTGAGTCCCATCGGTTCGTGAAGCATCTGCTGCAGGGTGCAGGGGAGGGAGTTGGGGGACACAGAGAGGTGAGCCTGAATGGACCTGCCTGGATTTACCTCCAGCACAGCTGTGCTCTGTTTTCCCACCCTCGGAGCAGCTGGAGGGACTGAGATTGGGTACAGTTGCTGGAGGAGTCTCAGCCACACTGTGTTCTCTGTTCTGTCTCTACCTTTCCAGGCCACTCTGCTCTTTTGAGCTGCTTCTCATTCCCTCTTTCCTGATGCTCCCCACACACCAGTTCATCAAAATGAAAAGTCCAGAGGCCTCCTCCATCAACATCACCTGGGATGGGACAAAGGCTTATAAAAATACATGGTTCTGGGCTCTTCTACTGACTAAGGTGCCCTGGGGTGGGGCCCTAGAATCTGTGTGTGCAATAACTCCCACTCTACATGGTACACTTTTGTGAGTGTGTGGTTGTTTTTTTTATTGATTGATTTTAGAGGGAGAGCGAGAGAGAGCTAGAAAGATGGATGAAAGAGAACATCGATTGGCCGCCTCCTACATGCCCCCCACTGGGAATTTGGCCCACGACATGGGCATGTGTCCCGACCAACCAGGAATCAAACCAGAGACCTCTCGATGCATGGGTCGACGCTCAACCACTGAGCCACCCCGCCGGGCTCTACTTGGTACACTTAAATGGGAGAGCCCCCTCAACCCACCTGCCCTCCTTGCCCCTGACGGCCTGTTCCTGCCCAGGGATCTTTTGGGAGTTGTTCTTCCTTAGCTCACCCCTTAAATGCTACAGAGCCTGGGGCTCCCCCATCCAAGCCCCTTGCTCCTGCATATCCACACCCTGAGCACCCAAGGCTAGACTTTCTTCTGCCCTGGAGTGGCTGACAGCACCCAGACCTGACATGGCCAAAGTTGACCCTGCCACCCTCTCTCCAGAACCCACCCTCCTTTCCTCACCTGCGGTGCCCATCTCAGCAAGCACCCGCCTGTCGCCCAAGCTAGAAACGTGGGTATCACACCCGACTCTCTTCCTCCCTTCCTCCCTCATCTCAGCAACAACCAGATCCTGATTATTTTACCTCCTAAAGATGGTTTGGCCTTTCCAACCCCTCACCCCAGACCATTGTATTTATCTCCTAACTGGTTTCCTCCCTCTAGTCTCTCCTCTTTCCGGTGAATTCTCCAAAAGCTTTCTAAAATGCAAATCTGACTATGATCACAAGCCCCCTTATTAGAACCCTTCAAAAAATCCTAATAAACAGTAGTCCTAAACCCTTGACCTGACACATAAGACCCTCCATCAGCTGGCCCCAGCCTTCGGCCCCAGCTTCCTCTTCTCTCTGCTCCAGTAGCAGCAAACTGCTTCTGCTTCTGACGTCCAGACCTTTGACCAGTCAGTGTCCCCTGCCAGGAATAGTCCTAGCCTGGCTGATTCCTCCTCACAACTGTGCATCACCTCCTCCAGGAAGCCATCCCTGACCCACCCTGCTCCTGTTACCATCCTTGGTGTATCCACAATGCCTGGTACAGAAATCTGTTAGTCCACTCACCACACTGAGTTATAATCATTGATTTCCATGTCTCGGTTCCGCACTAGCCAGTGAGATCCTTGAAGGCAGGGATGGTGTCCCATTCATCTCTATCCCAGCCCCTGGCCTGGTGCCTGACTCTGAGGACAGGCTTGGTTAGTGGTTGATGGATGAATGCTGAGGGGCAACTTGAAGGAAGTGAGAGCCAGGCATGGCCAAGAGAGCAGTGAGGGCAAGCCTGGCAGGAGCGACAGACAGTAAATGTGTGGGAAGTAGAAAAGCAAGAACTTCCCTTTATTGCACTCCCACGACTGCCTGCCAGCCATTGTGCCCGCGCTTTGTTTGTACATCTCGTCTCATTTAGTTCTTGCAACAACAGATCAGGAAACTGGCATCAGAGAACCAAAGCAACCTGCCCAAGGTCACACAGCTGAACCTGGAATGGAATCCGGAGCTGTCTGGCCTGCAAAGCTGTTCTCTTTCTTCTGGCCCACACTGCTCTCCTGGGGGCAGGGCCTTCTGGAGACGTACAAGGAGTGGGCCCAGCTATGCCTCTGCTTAGCTGTGCGCCGGAACCAGCTGCCCACGCTCAGGCCGACAGCTTCTTCCTCCCAGCCGGACCAGAGGCTCTGAGGCCGACAAGGATTTAGCTGTTCCTTCCGCCCCTGGCTTTTGGGGTCTTTAACTAGACATGCACACTCCCACTAGGGAAGGACTGCTGCACCTGGTACTGCCCAGGGTACCTGAGGAATGCAGGGGGCTCTGTGGTCCTGTCTGGGTTCTGCAAAAGCTGTCTCCCTCATTGCATTTGGCCCAGGCTGGCATTAAGATTCATCTGCATTCTCAGCGCACCCGCCTGGCAGATGGTGGGGGAGGAGGCTAGGTGCCTGCTGGGGGTTGCAGCTAGAGACCAAGCTGGTATTCGAGGGCCACAGAGTAGAGTGCCCACCGATCCGACCCCATGGGCCCAGCCCAGATTAGGGCCACTCCAAATGCGGGGGTACTTCCTTGCCCTCACAGCCTTCAAAGGGTGCTAGGACCTGACGTTTGCTTTTTCTAAGGACTAAAGGGGCCCTAGATTCCAGGAAGGAAATACGGAGATTAGCGGGGGTAGAGAAGGGTCCCACCTTTGGGAATCTCATATCAGGGTCCTGTTCTTCCTTCTTGCCCTGGAAGTTTGTAGAGACCAGAGGTAACCAGGGACCCGCTGAAATAGGAGACCCATGTCCCAGCCTAGTGACTGCCTGGGTCACAGGGTTAATAAGGAGTGAAGAACAGAGGAACAGCCTCCACGGAGTCCTTGCCCACATCACTACCCAGCTTCTCAGGAGGCTTACCCCTGACCCAGCCCCAGAATCTAGCCTGACCCTTAGCAGCGTTTTCAGCACTGGGCTTTAGCCAAAAGTGAGTGTGTGTCTGTGTGTGCTGGGGGGCGGTGGAGAACAGTTATACCAACCCCTCGGAGTAAAGTAAAAGAGGAAAGGAACTGACATTATAACAAAAGGAGTACAGGCTAGACACCCAGAAGAACTTCCTTCAGCACAGAAGCTGGACTTGCAGACAGAAGGTGGACTTTCGACTTTGGGGAGAGGTTGCAATAAGGAAGTTGTTTTGTTTTGGTTGCTGGAATGGGTTTGGAAAAAATGATCTTTCCAAATTCCAGGTCTCTTGGGGTTGAGGACAGAGCAGCAGATGCCTAATGTCCTGCTAGAGGGATGGGGAAGGTAGGGTCCCTAACTCCGGGCCACCACCCTCCTGCTGCCTCTCTGCCCGCCCCCCCCCCTCCCCCGGCCTGCGGGCCGGCAGGGTAAGAGTTAACTCCGGAGGTATGGGGGGTGGGGGGGCAGCTCACCGTACCTGCCGCCGCCTGTAGGAGGGACGAGGAAGCGGGAGCCGCCTGGGCGCCTGGAGCGCTCCAGTCTGGCGGGTACAGCGCGGGGAGCGGCAGCCGGGTTCGGCGCAGCCAGGGGCGTCCGCCAGGGGGCGCGCCCCGGCGGGGCGGGAGGGGCCGTCTGGTCCGGGGAATTAGCACTAGGGACGGGCGCGCGCGCGGGTCCCCATCACATCTGGGCGAGAGCGGCGCCGCTGGAACTGAAGGGGGCGCCGAGCGCAGATCCAGAGCGGCAGAGCCACCGTGCAGCTGGGGCCCCTCGAGGCGCTCGAGGCGCACATCTGGGACCTCGAGAGGGGACCGTGAGGCGCTCAGCGGGACCAGGGAAAGGGGGCGGCGGCTGCACAGCTGGACCAAAGGGGGCGGGGTCGGTCCCAGGTGACTGGCAGAAGCCAGGGCCGCGAGTCCCCGGCCACCGGAGCATGGGACGGCGCGCCTGAAAAGAGCAGGGGCGAGGCAGGGGCCTGGGACCCCGAGAGGAAAAGAGGCGAGAAAGGGGCACGAGAGCAAAGGAGGAGGATGCAACTGACTCGCTGCTGCTTCGTGTTCCTAGTGCAGGGCAGCCTCTATCTGGTGAGTGGTCCGTGGGGAGCTGCGCGGGGGGCAGGGGCTCAGAGGACTGGGGGAGAGCGCGGGAAGCTTCCGAGCCCGGAAACTTTCTCCCTTCCCCCCAACATCCCCGGGATGGAGGGAACGCCTGGAGGCTGGGGGGAGAGGGCGGGTCCGAGGCCGAAGAAGGCACAGGAAGCGTTAATAGGGGCGGGGAGCGGGTGCTTGGCTGGCCCACCCATTCGGCCGCTGCGGGCGGGAGGTGCGACCAGCGGGAGGGGAAGGCTGGCAGCCGGGCCGCCAAGGGTCACCCGACCCCTGCTAGGCGCCCGTGTCGCTTGGAGGGGCAGTGAGGATGGGTTGTAGAGCTTGTGACCCGCCAGGTCCGGGGGCTCGGGCTTCATCCTGATCTCGGGGACCCAGAGAGCCCCGGGCTGTGGGTCCCCCAGCGCGCGGAGCTGGTCCAGGCGGGGTCGGCCCCCGCGTCCCTTGCTCCCGCTCCCTCCTGCTCCCGCCCTCCCCGCCTGTTGTTTTCCTCTCCTCTCCCGGCTGCGCGCAGCCCGAGCCCCACAGGACCTGGGCAGGCGGCTCCCGCCCCGAGCGCTCGCAGCAGCGAGGCGGGCGCCCAGAGCCCGCTCCCCATGCTCTCGCTCGCGGCAGCCTGGGGGCCCAGGACACCGGGGAACCCCACTCCAGGCCCCAGCCCAGGCTTAACTCCCCACCGACCCAATGCCCGCCGTCCGCGCCCCACCCCCTTTCCTGGCGTGGAGGAGCTTCAGCCCCACATCTGGATCTGCCCCTTTCCTCAAAACAATAATCCTCTGCCGTTCACTGTGCGGAAGAACCCTTCTCCGCTCGCATCCCACCTGCGGCCCTTCTCCCCAGCCTCCACCCAGGCAGCTGTGATCCTTCGGGCCAAGTGCACGCAGGTCTGCAGCCTCCAGTCCAGCACCCAGGAACCTCCCCTCCTGCTGCCCTACCCTACCCCTAGCGCCTGCAGACAGGACCACTGCACACTTCCGCGGGCATGACCAGGGCCAGAACAGGGGGCACCAAGCCCCCAAGCCCCTTTGGAGCCCTCCAGACCCTAGTCCTCAGGCATCCCCCGTCCTCACCCCAGGGACGCCAGCAAATCCAGATGCCACCCAGCTGTGAACTGGTGCCCCTCGTGCTGGTAACTTAGACACATAGGGTGAGTGGTCTGGGCAAAGCTGAGCAGACACACAGCCGGCGGCTGCCCTCAGGAAGCCTGTCTATCCTGGATGCCCTTCAGAGCTGTTCGGTGCTTGAACGTGGTCGGGCTGTCCTGCTGGTCCTCCCACAGCTCTTCCAGGAAGCCTCCCGGGGTGTCATCTGTTGCCAGACCTGGTCCAGGAGATTTGGGGTGGGGATGGGGCTTAGATAAAACCTCTATTAAAGGACACATCTGGTCTGTGAGGCTGGGAGTGTGGTGGTGGAGTGGGAGGACTGACCCTATGTGGCTGAGCCTTCCAGTGATGTAACCTTTGAGTGCTGGTGTCCTCATCTGTGAAACGGGAATAATAATAACTCCTACCTCATGGTGCAAGTAATGTTCTGGCATGTCATCATCAGCGGTCCCTGTGGGAGTGTCAGGCGTTCCACGTCCTTGGCCATCCTCAGTGTGAGATTCACGCCAGGTCTCCCCCTCGTCCTCTTGCATTTATACTTGAGAGGAATGTCACTGGGCTCCGTTTTCTTATTCCATTGTCTGTTGGTTCTCACTGCCTTTGAGGGTAGAAACTGTCCTAGGATAGCATGGTGTCTCACCCAGCAGACTAGGAAGTCCCAAAAGTCAGGGGCTGTATCTCTCCTGTTTTTGTTTTTGTTTTGTTTTTTTGTTGTTTTTTTATCCTCACCTGAGGACATTTTCCCATTTTTGTTCAGATAGAGTGGGAGGGAGAGAGAGAAACATCGATGTGAAAGGGACACATCAAATGGCTGCCTCCTGTACAACCCCAACTGGGGCTGGGGACAAACTGCAGTGGAGGTCCGTGCCCTTTAGCGGGAACCAAACCCGGATCTCTCTGGACCAAGGGCTGACGCTCTAACCGGTGAACCAAACCGGCCAGGGCTATCTCTCCTGTTGAATGGGGGGCTCTCCCAGCATAGGGGTGGAGCTCTTCTATCTGACTTGGGACTCTGAGGGCAGAGACTATGCCTCCCCTGTCAGCTGGGATTTCAGAGGCAGGGACTACCTCTCCTGCATCTTCGGGCTGTTAGCACAGCTATGCTTCTGAAATCAGACAGTAGCTCTTCCAACATCAGGAGCTGGGTCTCCCCCATCAGATGGGGCACTCCGGTAGGGGCCACGTACCTCTGGAGCCCTGGCACTGAAGACACTTCTCCTCCATCCTTTTAGACTTTGAATATGACCGGAGGCAAGACAGTGAGGAGAGCAGGTGGGGGTGGGGGTGGGGTGTGACCTTCATGTCAGAACATGAGATGGGACCGTGACACAAGCCAGAGTGTACACCCAACTCCCAGCATAAGTGGGCAGTGTGCAGGGGCCCCTCGCCCCAAGTCAGTGGAAGAGACAGGAAGAGAGATGATGCTGGCAGTGCGGAGCAATGGACCAGAACTTCTGGGTTCTCTGGGGACAGAGCACTCACACTCCTCTCAACTCCCTCCACAGGTCATCTGTGGCCAGGAAGATGGTCCTCCTGGCTCAGAGGACTCTGAGCATGATGATCATGAGAGCCAGCCCCGGCCCCGGATGCCTCGGAAACGGGGCCACATCTCACCTAAGTCCCGCCCCATGACCAACTCGACTCTCCTAGGGCTGCTGGCTCCACCTGGAGAGGCATGGGGGGTCCTAGGGCAGCCCCCCAACCGCCCGAACCACAGCCCCCCACCTTCAGCCAAGGTGAAGAAAATCTTTGGCTGGGGTGACTTCTACTCCAACATCAAGACGGTTGCCCTGAACTTGCTTGTCACAGGGAAGATTGTGGACCATGGGAATGGGACCTTTAGTGTCCACTTCCGGCACAATGCCACGGGTCAGGGCAACATCTCCATCAGCCTCGTGCCCCCCAGTAAAGCCGTAGAGTTCCACCAGGAGCAGCAGATCTTCATTGAAGCCAAGGCCTCCAAAATCTTCAACTGCCGAATGGAGTGGGAGAAGGTGGAACGGGGCCGCCGGACCTCCCTCTGCACCCACGACCCAGCCAAGACCTGCTCCCGAGACCATGCTCAGAGTTCGGCCACCTGGAGCTGCTCCCAGCCCTTCAAAGTCGTCTGCGTCTACATCGCCTTCTACAGCACAGACTACAGGCTGGTCCAGAAGGTGTGCCCAGATTACAACTACCACAGTGATACTCCCTACTACCCCTCTGGCTGACCCTGGGCGGGCCACAGAGGCCAGGCCAGGTCTGGAAGGACAGGCCTGCCCACACAGGAGGCCATCTGTCTGGACGCTGGGCAGAGAAGGGGAGGGGCCTCAGGCAGGGAGTGGGGTGGAGAGAAGGAGATGCCAAGTGGAGCCAGGACCAAGTCTCACATGTTGGGGAAGGTGTCCCAAGCGGTGGCCCCATCCTGAGGTTGTGGAGCGAGCAACTAGGACACAGGTGCACTGGAAGGGGAGTGGTTCTCCACACAGCCTCACAGGGAGTCACCACTGAGCGACAAGCTGCTGCTGTGTCCAGGAGGCCCCTGGGGCTAGCAGACCAATGTGGCCTCAATAAAGTCATGGAGAGGAGCCTAAAATCTTAGCTCCCTCCCTGCCATCCTGAGACAGGACAGCAACAAGGAGAGGGGTGTTTCGTCAGCGTGGACACCGAGCAGTGGTGAAGGATGGCTGAATGGGGCCTCCTGGGAGCCAGCACTGGGGGGCAGAGGCAGGGGGAACTCTCCAGGCCCGCTCCGTGGGCAGCCCTGAGCCCCTGGACTGTGGACTGAGCTCAGCTTGAGGCTGAAGTGGCGACTTTGGAGTCTTTGATGTCGTGACAAATAGATCATCTGCCCCTAGCCAGGCCACCCCTTGCCCAGATTCCTTCTCCCCAGAGCTCCTCCACCTTCCTCGTGCTGATGGGGTACTTCCTGCAGCTGAGACAGTGATCGGGGTTCTCCCAGCACCAAGGCCATATGTAGAAGCCCACCTGTGCGCTGTGTGTCCCTCCTTCGTCCCACCCCCTGCTGGCTCCTCGGGGAGCATCCTTGTCCAGTGAGCCACCCTTCAGTAGTCAGTCTTGCCTGGCAGATTGGGGCTGGATGGCAATGTTGCCTCCCCTCTTGGCTGCGGGGCTGGGTGGGCGAGGCCAGACTCTGGAGGGCGTGCTGGACCTGTTCCGTGGTGTCCGTCTGTGGGTGGGTGGGGTGGGGTGGGGTCTTGTGAAATCACCTGATTGTCAACTTCTGTGTGCAGAATCTTGTTATTGGAGCAAGGAATAAAGCTTTCCTGGGGCACTGGATTCTTGGCAGGGGGAAGGGCCCTGGGCGCCCCGCAGGCCGGCCAGCATTTCTCAGATGGTGGCAGGACGTGTCCTGGAGACTGGAGCTGCAGGGCTCGAGGAGCTCAGCGAGCTGATGGGGGTGGCATCTGCAAGGCAGCTCAGGGAGGGCGAGCTGGTCGGTGAGATGGGACACAGGGCGTTTCAGGATTGCCGTCTGGGTGGGCCCAGTGGGGGTCCCAGGTCTGTCAGTATTTTCCCTGTGGTCTTGGACAAGTCCACTGTCTCTGGGTCTCTTTCTGTTCCTTCCCTATAAAATGAGGCGCTGGGCCAGCCCAGAGGGTCTCCAATGTGGATAGGCCTCTGAGCACCAAGAGGGTTTGTTAAAACAGATTTCTGGGTCCCATTCCCAAGTGGGTTTGGTGGGGCCTAAGAATGTCCCTTTCTAACCAGTGTCCAGGCAGATGCTAAAGCTGTTGGCTCAGGGATCCCACTCTGAGGACCACTCAGATGACCTCTAAGATCCTGTCTGGCTCTTGCTGCCTAGGATGAGGAGACACATCTGATGCTCTCTCCCAGCTGTGACTTGTACCTGCTTCTCCTGGGGAGGTCTCCTGGGAAGGATCCTTTCAGAGAACCAGGGGTGTTGGGTTTTCAGTCTCATGACCTTCAGTGAAGGAACAGGCCGGGATGGATCAGGGACAGATGGGTACTTGAAAGCAGCCGTTCCCCTGCCGCAGTCCATAGGAGCGCCTCAGAATGGATGGCTGCCGGCGGCACATGGTCTGGGAGTTAGCTGGGCCCTTTGGGGCTCAGTGAGGGGAGAGCTGGGCCCTCAGTTCCCAGATCACAGTGCCCTCTCTGGTCTTGCCACCCCGAGCCTGTCTCCCCTGCCCAGCGGCACTCAGCACGGACCGGCCCCCCTCACACTGCAGAGCAGAGCAGAGCTGAACAGGGCCTTAGCAGCCACCTTGTATGAAGTGACCTAGAAAGGGCATGTGAGGAGCTCACACTCCCGTCCCTGCACCTCGTTTTCTGGGGCTGTCTCTTCCATGCAGAGACTTGAGACACTCCCCCACTCCCTTCCCAACCTGGGGACAGCTACTTAGTGTCCAAAGAGGCCCAGGGGGCCCGGGCTCTGCCGCAGGGGACTTGGGGTGGTTGTGCCACCCACAGATGCCCACCCACCAGCCTGGACCCCCTCCTAAGTCCTGTGGGTACTGGAGGACTAGAGTGGGGGAGCTGCAAGTGGTGGTCCTGGGGCCCTCCTCTGTCTAGCCCGCTGACCTAGCCGCAGGACCTGGGGGCACTCTGACCCACCCCTCTGGCTCCTCTCCTCCTGTGGAGAGCCAGATGCTGCCAACAGCTGGAGGGCTGGCTTGCCTGGCACAGAGTCCTGCCTGGGCAGGGGGTGGGTTCATTTTAATAACTTCATTTCAGCCGCACGCACACTCTTCCGCCTCGTCCTGCTCCGCTTCCCCATCACGCGGCTGCTCTTCTCAGCTAGGATCTCGCTGACAGATTTCCTCCAAAATCATAATTCTTTTGGAGTCGCCCTCTGGGCCCTACTATTCTTGCCATCATGATACTTTCTGCACCCCGTTGGTCTTCACAAGAGTGAGGGGTCCATCCAACTGCCTCTGGCTGCAAAGACACCAACCTCTGCCCCCTGCCCCATGGTGAGCAATGGCTGTGGCATCCCCCTGGGCGCCTGGCCCCGTTCGCTGAGATGAACCCCACCCCTTACCATTCAAGCACCCCTGGGAGAGCAGAGTCCTCAGGAAGGAGCTTGTGTCTTCTCCCGGAGAGCAGCTCTAGGTCCTGCCTTCACCTTTGGCTTCCCCCACCACTGCCCTTCGGTGACCAATCTGCTGCTCCTCCAACTGCCCAGACCAGCTGGGGGCTGCCCCAGGGCAGGTCCTCGTCTCCTCCATCCTAGAACAAGGATGGGGCTCTTTGAGGTCGTGGCATGGTATCTCCCCATCAGACCAGGGAGCCCTGGGGCCAGGATCCGTGCCTTCCTCATCAGACTGGAGTTTCCCTGAGGGCAAGAACTGCAGTGTGGACATGGGGGGAGCAGGAGCTTGTTCTTTTTTGAGCCTCAGAACACCTGGAGGACATCGCTGCCCTTTGGACTTGGCATAGGCTCTGTTTGGGCCTCAGCGGTCCCACCCCTCATGGGGTGAATCTTCCCAGCAGTCTGTGAAGCAAACTGGAGGGAATACACATTAGGTCATCCAGCAGCAAGCTGAGTCTTCCTCCCGGGGAAGCTTGAGGCAAAAGCAAATGGGTGTCTGGGTCCCTCCCCCCTCCTGCCTCCTTCCTCCCCCCTCATTCTCCTTTCCTAGGATGAGCAAGCGGGAACTGAGTCACCCCCTTCCCCCTCCTTGGCAGGCATGCTGGTGACCTTGCAGGCAGCAGACTCCTTTGGCACGGCCATGGCTCAAAGATGCATGAGGCTGTGGGTGGGTCAGATGCTCAGGAAGGGCGTGTATGGGGGGTAGAGGCAGCCAGAGGTCGTGGGGTGACCAGGGACCTGTATTATCGAGTGGATATGTGTAGGGGTCGTGGGGAGGATACAATGAACCATTTGCTCTGTGTTAGAAAGTGATCCAATGTCATGGCTGGGAATGGAAGAGAGAAATGTTACTTCTGAAGACTCTGAGTCTCAGGAGAACCGGGGGCTGGAGTGATGCGCGAGGAGAGGCACCGCCAGCCCCACCGGGCAGAGGCAAGATTGGGTGGGGGCAGCACCTGCCAATTATGCCAAAGTCCTAGAGCTGCAGATACTGCCATCACCAAGGCACAAATGCCAGAGGAGACCTGGCACTCAGCAGTGGGGCCTGGCTTCCGGTCCCACAGGGGACCCCGCTTCCCGTTGGCCTGCCAAGCTCAAAGCCTGACCTGATAACCATCCGAGTGAAGGATGCCTGGTTGCCTGGTTCAGTCTCCCAGTTCATCATCTCAGAGCCACTTTTGCTGGGTGGTCCCAAGGGACAAGCTGGCACTTCCTGAACCACAGAGGCTGCCAGTGAACAGGCAACATGAGCACTGTAGGAAGATATATCTTGGTCCCAATCCTGAGTCTGTAATTTATTAGCTGGGTGGCTTGGACAAATGATATAATCTCCCAGAGCCTCCTTACGTGAAAACTAGGATCTACCTCCCTTGGAGCATTGTTGGGAAAATTAAACGAGCTGCTCAGCAAACGTTACTCCTTCATCTTTGTTTCTGGAGTTGAGTTGATGCTCACTTCAGCCTTGCTCCTACGGTGGCTCGTTGAAAGGGTCCAGGCTAGAGGTAGGAGACCTGGGTTCTTGTCCTGGGTTCTGCTCATAATGCATGTGGCAGAGACTGCTAATTGTTTCATAATATTCATTCCCCCTGTCTGCATAGTAATTAAATCCTCAGTTTTTAGCTGGGCACATGGCTGCATGAAATAAATGCATCTCTCTGCCTCCCTTGTGCCAAGATATGGCCATGTGACTAAGATGTGGGTAGTGATGTAGCAAAAAGGTTATTTGGCAACTTCCAGAAATCTTAAGACAGTTTGGTCCTTCTTTGTTCCATCTTCCAGCCTGCTGCCTGGAATATGTATGTGATTGCTGGAGCTCTAGCTGCCATTTTAGGCCACGAGGATAAGAACCATAGCCTAGAAATGACTGGAAACATCTTTTTCCCTGAAAAATTTGTGGGATAGAAATATCGTACCAGCCCTTGGTTGCCTACCTTCAGACTTTTACATGAGAGAAAACTCAAATTTCTATCAAGTTTCTATCTTAGTGGGTCTCCCTTTCCAGCAGTGAAATCTAGTTCCACCTGATTCAATGGATGTGTTTGAGCACTTCACTTCTGTGGACCTGTGTCCTCCCCTGTAGAAAGGAGATAGTGTTCACGCATCTTGACGCACTTCGGAGGTTTCATAGACTCACAGACAAGAACGTGGGAAAGTGCGGGTCCTCCGCCCTCTCTCCAGCATCAAGGCACACAGCTTCCGTTCGGAGGGGGAGCAGCTTGCTGCATTGCAGGGAGCTGCTGAGGGGCTCAGAAGGATTCTTCACCCCTGTCTGAAAGGCCTCTAGTCCCCAAATTTAGCCCCCACACATCTGAGTCCCCATCCACATTCTGATATCGGTGACACACAATCCTCGTTAAGGGCCTGACTGATCCCAGCCAGATGGGATCCTAATTTAATTAAAACCCTTTAATTACCTGCGACAACACAGCTTGGGAAGTCCAATGCAGAAGGGGGCCTGTGGCAGGAGGGGAATGGTTGACAGGGCAGAGTACTGGCTTTCCTTGCACCCCTCGGGGACTTCGGGGCTGGGAGGCATCTCTCCCACCGGGTGGGCACAAACAGCAAGGAGCAGCCAGCGGCACGTGCTTCTGGCTTGGTCAACA